AGAGTTATTTGTTTACTTTCTAACTACTTGCTGACAAGACTGTAACACAAGAAGTTTAAAATAGCGTCTGTTTATGCTAGATGTAAAAATGTATGATGCTGATGTGGCAGCCTTTTCCCACTTTTCTTACGGCTGTTGTCATGCAAGTCAGAACATATCTCTGGGTTGCTGAATGTCTGTTGATTGTATCATGAGTCAAATAAATTAACTGATTGAATTCAACATTTGGAGTTGTTAAATCTGTCTATATTTTGAACTGTTATATCCATTTGCATTTCACACTAAATTATGCTGCGAGTGCTTGCTTTAGATAACTGATTCAGAAATTTCTAACTTCTGCAAGAGCTCTTACCCTTCAAGTAGTAATTTCCAAAAGATTTTTCCAACTTGTGTTTGCATTATAAGAGCATTCATGTTAAGAACCTTAAGGTTTTCAATGTGCTTTTCCTGAAATCATAAGAATGACAATACTCATTTTCCTCAACTACTACTTTAAGTTCTCTTTTTCAGATAGGCTGCTGGTACTTGCATGTGGCTATGATAACTATTTGCGCGAAAATAAAATAGAATTTTTAGCTACTGACTCTGGAACATGTAGGGCATGATTTGCTGAGGAGAAATATGTGAAAGAAAATAATGCCTTTCTACTAACTGGCATCTACTTCCTTCCATTTGGATAACTAAACACTTAGAAAGGGTGTAAGCCCTTTTACTTAGGATTTTCAGAGTGGTCATATCATTACTCAGACTTCATACAGTATAGCATGATTGTCCAACACACAAAAATGACTTTCTGCGACTGCCTGGCATGTATGTACAAAGTAAGGTAGAAAGGACAAATATTAGCCCTTTCAGAAATGTATACGTACAGAAAAGTTGTAAAAATGTGTAATTCCTTTTCAGGTATTCTTTTGATGTTTTTATATTTTGCATTACATTCATTGTACAGCCTGTTTTTAAAGTATGAACAGATGTGGTACACATCTATAGTCTTTACCTATGATATTCCTACCTTCTGTAGACTCCTTTCGTGGAAACAATTCAATTGTCTACTGTTAATTTTCTATTGCATTATTTTTCTTTGCCTTAACTCTGGAGCTAGCGAAGTTACTCAGTGAAGCAGGTTCCCTTAAGCTGGCCACGAGTAACAGTGATGGCAGGCCTGCTTCTGTAAAAGCAAGCACTCACATGATGAGAAGTCCTTCTACTTAGAAAAACTTGATAATTTATTAACCACTACTTGGCTTTCCAGAGAAGTACCTTAGGAAAATTGTCCTTAATTGTGGGACTGTTTGTTTTCAGTGAAAATAATCAAAAAATCTTTCTAAAACTAGAGTTATAAGCAGAGACTGGAGTAATGTAGAAAATGCAAGTAAGTTCAAAAAAAGTTCACCTAGTTATCACTGAGGTCACAGCCAAATATTAGGAAGTGTTAATGTTGTGGGAGTAACTATGTAAGTGGAGAAGAGTGGCTAACTTCACTACCTGTGCTGAGTGCCCTGTCACGTTTTAGCTTCTACACCATACTAGCAGTCATATCAGATAACAAAACTGTGGTGGTTGATTCAAGAAATTGGGAACACTTCATGATTTGTTCACATTTAAAGTGTAACTGGTATGTGAATACTATATGCTGTTATTCTTCCCTTAGTTGATCTGTCTAATGAAAGACATTTCTCCCAGATAAAATATGGGAGAATGTGAAGTATCTGTCTAATAAATAATTTTTTTTTTTTTTTTTTTTTTTAAAGTACTAACCAGTCCTATTTACCTCTTAAGTTCAACAGATTCTTGTCTATCTGTTGCTGGTAATACTGATTTTCGTTCCTCTTGACATCATATCTGCTATAGTCAGTTCAAATTAATCTCAGAGATGATGCATAAGGAATAAAATGTTTTTGCATTTCAGCTACTGGGGCTCCTGAGGAGGGAATGCAATATTACATCATCAGATACCTGAATTCACCTAGGTACTCCATCTTCTCTTTGCTTCAAGGCAAGCCTTCTCTTTCTATGTCTCTGAAAATTTCTTGACTGAATCAAGATAGGAGATTACAGGTATTTATTTTGAATCTAAATATAGTATTATGAATGTATTTACTAGTATCTTGTGGTCTAATGATCAGTATGCAAGTTTACAAAGGGGATGGCTGTGGTTTACTGAGACAAATAGCATTGTGACATGTTGATTATTCTGTGAGTCCTGTGAAGAAGCCTGTCAATACCAATAAAACTCATGAAGTCTTTCTTTCTGTTAGACTGGCTGACGCTGTGTTGATGCATGCCAGAGAGGTGATGTAAGCCAAGCTGTAGTACAGCATTTGTCATTTCCACAAACTCATCAGCAACATCCATGGGTGAAATGGAATTTAATTTATGTAGCTGGTATTAATCAATCACTTGTTTCTCAGCAGTCTTGCAAACAAAAAGAAATGTGCTTGTGTGTAGATTCCTCATCTATGTACATCAAACTTATATGGCTTAATATGCCAGGATTCTTCTGAAAATTCTTTGACCACTGTTTTATGCATTGGAGTTGAGAGAACAGTTTCTTTATGTAATGACTGCATTTATCCCCTTTTCCCTCTTCTTTTTCCACCAATATGTCCAAAATTTTCCTAAAATTTAGTTCTTATTTGTCATCTAAACACAAAATGAAACCTGACACGTAACGTGGGAAATGAAATATTATGCTGTGGGAGTCAAAGCAGTGGTTAAAACAAAGCAAAAAATTGTAGCTGCAGTCAGCAACATATCTGTCTTAATGAATCCTTCTTTATGATTTTGCTTGAAGTTTTGGTGGAATTTTGGGGGGATTTATTAACTTAGGAACTAATTTTATCTTCAAGAAAGCTAACAAAAAAAATCTCACTGTTGATGGAAACAGAATATAGCCCCCTGGTTTTCTCTATTTTTCTTTCATAAAATAAAGAAACAAATCTAATTGTATGTAGCAGAAGAATTAAAACAAGGAAGAACAACAAAATAACTTCAAGAAGAATATATCTCTAAAAACAAGTTGTGTTAGAAGGAGCACACGATAAGACAGCCTCTCATAGCAGCCTTCTAGGGATAAAACAACAGAACTTTTCATTCCTAGAATCAGAAAATTCTGGTGACTTAATTTCCAACACTCCCAAAAAATCTCCACAAATCATCACATTCTCACTGGAAAACTGACTGCAGACCTGATATTCAAGATAATTTGTTTTTCTTCGTTGTCTTTTTGTTAAACATCTGTTAGTGGAAGTTTGGTAACGCCCTCAAGAACAGACCTTTTAATTTAAAACTTCATCTTTGTTTTTATACTTACTTTCAGACCTGATTATTAAAAATTTCCCTCTACAAATCAAATCCCTGACTGAAAATTTTTGGGTGGATTCAGAAAGTAAGGGCAAAAGATTTGTATTCTGACTTCTTTAGCTCAAAAAAAGTATAAAGAACAATAAAGACCTTCTCAACATGTAAACGTGTTATGCCAGATAGCTAAGGGAAGTTTAATTTGATGTTAAAAATGTTTGAACAAACTAATTATGTTTAAATGATAACTATGGGCTTGCAAGACATCCTACTTATGTTATAGATGTGTTTTTTACAGTACAAAGGTTGTTCTAAATATAATTATTGCTTATGTTGTTTTAATTCATGAATGCTAATAGAATAAAATTTTCAGGATTTGAGGTGTCACTAATTGATTGAGGAAGAAAGAAGTAACTGAATGAAACTGCTTAAAGGTCACCAACTTCACTACGTGATAACATGATATCAATTAGCACTACCCTGCTGGGACTCTCCTTATTCTGAAGATCTATCTTGAATGAGGAGTCACAGCCATTTCTATCAACGTCTCTAAATCCTGAACAACATCTAAGAAGTGAAGTTCCTGCTCAAATGAGCTAAAATCATCTCTTACCTTGTTCTTTTCACACTTTCAATTTTCTGTTTTCCACCAAAAGGAAGAAAAGAGCAGAAAACATTATTGTTCAATAAGTGGTTCTGCCCACTTATTTCTCTTCCCCCAGTATTTTTCCAGGGGTCTGATGAAAGGAATAGGCTGAAGGGAGAAGGGAGCATGATAAAATCTGGGGGGGAGTGTGGCTGTGATAGGAAAGAGATCACTAATTCCAGTGCAGTAGTCTGAGGTGGCAGAACAAGGAGGGAGAATTCTTTTTTATTTGTCATGAGCAGCTCAGTTTAGCAGGAGAAAATGCATGCTTTGGATGATGAATATATTTGTTGCAATCATCTTAGAAAACTTACTCAGCTTGAGCATAAATAACTGATCTGTGGTACACTGGTGTATATATATTTGAAAGCACAATGGTTGACTCCTGCCTCTTCCTCTGACTTAGATAAAAAGACTTATGTTCTGCAGCTTGGCAAGATTTCTAGATTTCCAGGGAACGTTAGTTCAATTACTACTGAATTTAACCATCCTTTCTGCTAACGGCATGATATGTATGAAAATACTAGTTTTTCTGCATCTATTCATTAGTATTCCTACAGGCCTAGCAAGGGAGTCACCAGTATAAAGTAGTTGTATAAAGAGTTATGAGGGCATGAGTAAAATGACACGGCAATACGGGAATGAAAGAGCAAAGAAAAATAGCCAAGCTGTCAAGCATTAGTGATCTGAAACAGCCTTTTGAAGGGAGGTGAAATAGGTTTGAACTACAGTTTTGGACTAATGTATCTTCTTTCTCATACAATGATTGCAAAATCTTAATAAACCAAAATTTTAATATTTTTTTTGTGGAGTAAAATGAGTAGTTATTTTAAAATTAAAATTCACTGATAATCTTCTCAAGGTATTGTACAAGGTTGGCTTTTTTTTTTTCTCTTAAAACTTCCTGTCTCAGTAAAAAAAAAAAAAAAACCAACAAATTTGAAGCTTTCTTTTAGAAGAAATGCCAGTATTGCCTCTGTTTTCAGAGTATCACAGAACAGTTGTTAAGCTACAAAACCATGCTACAAAATAACCTAGAATTTGTGGAGCCTACCTTTCTCCTGTGGGATGGCACAATAAAGTATGTTTCAATATTATGTTTCTTCAAGAAACTATTCCTTTCATGGCCATATCCTGGTTCTACTTCATAGTCCCCATTTAGGCACTCTAGGGTGGTCTTTGTAATATGAACTTTCCTGGAGAGAAAAACAGGACGTTCTTTAAAGCAGTGATATGTCACTAGATGCTACTGTGCAAAAGATCGTAATAGGATCGGTATCTTTAGCCACATAAATCGTAAAGTATTTCTAGCAAAATGGTAACTGCAATATCTCCAAAGATTTGCATGCTCCTTGATTGGTAGAAAGTGGAAATCTGCACATCATCTTTCATATTGTGTAATTTTGTTAATTTATCTCACTGTCTGTTGTGGGGGAAAAAACCTCCAAGCCTCTTATGTGCATTAAAGATAAAATTTTTGTTCTTCTCATCCTGTTTCCCTTAACAGTTCTCAAATGCACCATTTACTTACTCTGTTTTATGGGCAGATTTCTCATTCACTATACTTGGGAAGCACAGCCATTTTTGACACACGTGAGTCTACATATACACAAAACTATCTTCACATTTTCTCCTGAAAGATCATTCATATTTGAAATGACTTTCTACAAGATATCTGAAAACCTATTACAATTTTTTTTTTTTTTTTTAATTGGGTAGCCTGATGGTAAGGAATACTCAGAAACACTCTGTCTAAACTGTCTCAAAAATGTATATAGCAAACAGAAATTCACTCAGACAGAAAAATGAAGAGGTTCCATTGTTCTCCTGTTCAGGATATCAAAATCTTGTAAAAAATCTAACAAAGATTGGAAGTTGTAGTTCAAATGCAACTTGCATACGGATGCATACTAATGCACTGTGTCAACTTAAATTGAGTATGAGGCTGTCCAAGGAACGCTTAAAATTCCAAGCCGTGCCTCATGGAATGGCTGCAGGTTTATGTACTACCTTATCATTTGCAGACGCATGATGGATATCTGAACATGTAAGCAGATAATTTCTTTTGGTAGCAGACAACTAGTATTCACTATTTGTCCTTGTAAATAGAGTAAGGAACATATGTGTACCCTCCTGTCCCCCTTCCTGTGTACAAATCGAAAAATTCCTGAAATGTTTAGGGAGCTTTACTTTTTTATCTTGAAATGATTATGAAAGTCTAGCGCTTTTACTTTCCTAGTGCTGTCTTATTCCTTCTCTTAATATGTGGCAGTTTCTAAAAAGGAGTTAGTAAGTGTTTTCCAAAGAGAACTTTTTTCTGCTTCTTTTCAAAATTTTACTTCCAATCTATAATGAACAAAAAATCTTCAAGGTCATTTGCACAGTTCAACAGGAGATAATGCAGTGACTGCTCTTACTGTACACAACTCTCAACCCTTCTCATCAATAGCAAGTACAGTGCGAGTGGTACAGAGAAGGAAATTATTCACCTATATGGGTCTCTGGTTCTTTTTCTGTAGGTCTTTCTCAGACTTACCCAGGCAATCCTCCAGCTTCCATTACATTGGCTAAAGTAACATCATTTGACCAGACATCGTATTGCCATTTTCGGAGACCTAGGACCCCACAAAGCACCCTTCCTGTATGTAATCCAACTCTCATGTTGAGATCAACCTCTGTGGCTTCTGCAACAGATCTGGAATATATAGCATCAGAATATAAGTCTTTAGACAATACCATTACTCTTATTTTCTTTTTCAGTGCTTTCCCCGAACTTAATAAATATATGCATGATTCAAGAAATGACTTTATTAGGAATACAGGACAAAAATATGATGAAACTACTAAATCGGTGCAAGATCAGTACAAGAGCGATAATAAACATCCATGTATTTCCAAAGCCCGTGGAAGAGCGGCACAGAAATCACCTCTAACTATGGATAACTATGGACCACAACCCATAAATGAAAGCTAAACTTCTGAGGTTTTCCTTGTATACCTGGAAAAGGAGGAATTAATTGGTGAAGTCATTATTAAAAGTGTTTTGATTTTGATGCTGCTATAAGGGAGGATTCTTTGTGAAGCACATTCTCACTCTGCATTGACCTATGAATGTTGAAAAGGATCCCTGAAACTAATAATCTTGCATAGTTCATGAAGAGATAATGCTGTGCATAAATCTTTGCAGTTTGTCCTGCTACAGAGGCATGTGGAATTTCACATTTAAGTTGCAGTCCAAAAGAAGACATAATGAGAAAATAAAAAAGCTTCTCAATTTATGTAATATTTAATTTTCTGTAGGTTTCTAATTTTAAATTTTCCAAGGCATTTAATAGAAGTCCTTAAACTCATACTCTGGCTATATTTTATCCTTACCTTTCATTGGCCGGCATGTTTTTAAAAATATCATCAAGCCACAAGAGATGGAGATCTTTAGAAGAACTTTGCGCTGTTTTAGGGGTAACAATCATATTTATCTCTTGTATAGTTGTACTTTAAAAGATGCAATTAATTGAAAGGGCATGTGCAGCATAGGACAAGATGAGAGATGAACGGCACAATACTCCTGGCATCAATTTAAGAAGATCTGCAGCCTTGAATTGTTGCAGAACTACATGCCATGTCAGCCCTCACTAATGTGGGTAACTGTAAAAATCTATTGTCACCACAGGAAATCTAGGCCTGACACAATTTTCAGTCATATTTAATGCAACAGCAGAGAGAGACTTATGCACAGCTTTCTAATACATTAAGTATTTCCTTGTCCTATTTCTACCTACTGAAATTTGACCCTTCATTATACAGTATCTGCTTGCAGGCAAACCTTAAATATGACTCCAAGGAGTCATTGTTACACTGCTTCCTATGTGCACTGTGTGCTTGACAAAGCCCCAAGGAAAAGAAAGGAGATAATGAGACAAGCCACCTAACGATAACTTTGTCTTCACCTGTGCACATGCACTGTGCCATTAACTGAGTGAGCTTATACCAAGACCATAGCATGTAGCCTGCAAACCAAATCATTTCAGGATCATGGTTTGCTCACTTGTGTATGTTCTGCTGGTTAACTGAAGTAGTATATAATTCGTAGAATCATGGAATCACCAAGGTTGTAAAAGACACACAGGATCACTCAGTCCAACCATCCATGATCACCAATAACCAAACCATGGCTATAACATCTCCCTCAATACAAAGTCCAAACATTCCTTGACCACTTCCAGGGTCAGTGACTCCACCACCCCCGTGGGCAGCCCATTCCAGTGCCTGACCACTCTTTCAGAGCAGTAGTATTTCCTAGCATCCAGCTTGAATCTCCCCTGGCGCAGCTTGAAGCCATTTCACCAGCATACCTACAAAAGTGTGAGTTTTGCAGATTAACGTTAAAAAAACTTTCCATTTAAAACAGTTTATAAAATCTCATGGTAAACGTACATGAAAATGCAATGAAGTTTCAGTGACAAAAACTACTCCAGATGCTCTCTACCTTTCTTTGCCCCAGCTTGCTCAACCGCTTGAAGAAATTCAAATATTAGAACAAAAGAAATAATAATAAAAAAAAGAGCAGAAAAATACAACATGAATGATCATATTCCTTGCTTAAAAAGGCTAGCCTGCACCAACGAACCATAAAGCAGACTACTAAAACATTTTATATTGAACAAAATATTTCCCAAGTGTAAAATCTGAATCTTGAAAACATTTCTCACTTATTTTTCTTTTTCCTTTTTTTTTTTTTTTTCTTTCTCCAGATATTACAGCATGTATCAGAGGGGATTTCAACATTATATTTGAGTCAGAAAAAATGTCTTATGAGCTGTTTATTACAATTTTGAATTTGCTGTGAAGACTATTCTCCTTCCTATCCGGTTAATTTTCATGAATATGCTCCACTGAACTACAAAAAATGAGGAATATAAGTAATCTGTGAAGAATAAATTTCAAATACAAAATCAGAGGAGTACTACAATCATATTTCCAAACAGCATCAACTTTTGTGTACTAAAATATCACAAAAGCATCGACTGATACATTTTAAATTATGGACATGTTTCTGGAAAAATATCAGTACTTTGTAGAGAAGCTGTGAACAGAAAAAAGAGAAAACAGAACAGAAATTAACTGAAAAGCTAGGTCATTCACTATAGCTTATTCTCTTCAAGGTTTTGAGAAAATATAGACAAAAGTTTTCCAAACTTTAACATAAAAGTAGGCCCAGAAACAAACAGAAAGAAGCATTTTCTTTTTAAACTGGAGGCATGTAGATCTTACAAAAATGACTTAAAAGAGGATAACACCTACTTTGACATCTGATGTTTCCTGCCAATCCTTTAACTTTGATTTCTCTGTTTAGCTACAAGTATTTATTGTGCTGCCACAAATGGTCAGTCGTTTAGATAATCTGTAAAATTTTTCTGTACTTTAAAGACATTTCTCCAGATCCATGCTGAATTTGAAGCAACAGAAGGGAAAGAAAAAAAAAACAACAAAAGAGCCCAGAAGCTCTGTATCTGACTTTCTTTACATTATTTAGACCTTTATTTATTTTAGGCCCCAAAATATCTGCATAGAAACGTTTACTCATTAAATGAATAGACAAGGTTACTTGTTCAGTTACATACACCTGATTTTTATTTATGCACAGTTCAAATATAACAATGCCCTCTAAACAAAAGGAATTTTACTTATCTTCCTGAATATGTCTGGGTCAGATCTGCTTCAACATCATTATGAATTGGCTACTTCTTGGATATCAATGACAAAGAATGTCTTTTTGTTAATTGTCTCCACATTGGAAAAATTTGAACTAATCTGCTAGTTATACTACAAAAGCCATGCTGAAGGGAACATGTTAAATTAACATTCTCATGGAAAGTGCAAACCAAACAACAAACACACCATAGGGCAGATTTATGTTACCTTTCATAACCATCTTTGGAAGACAGACATATGAAAGTATCACAGAATCGCAGAATGGCCAGGGTTGGAAGGGACCTCAAGGATCATCAAGCTCCAACCTCCCTGCTACATGCAGAGCCATGAACCTCCCCATTTAATACTAGACCAGGCTGCCCAGGGGCCCATCCAATCTGGCATTGAACACCTCCAGGGACGGGGCATCCACAACCTCTCTGGGCAGCTGTTCCAGCACCTCACCACTCTCTCTGTAAAGAACTTCCCCCTGACATCCAACCTAAATCTTCCCTCCCTCAACTTAAAACCATTTCCTCTTGTCCTGCTGTTATCTATCCTTTCAAAAAGTTAATTCCCCTCCTGTTTGTAGGCTCCCTTTTGGTATTGAAAGGCTGCAATTAGGTTACTCCACAGCCTTCTTTTTTCCAGGCTGAACAAGCCCATTCCCTCACCCTGTCATCATAGGGAAGGTGCTTCAGTCCCCTGATCATCTTTGTGGCTTTCCTCTGGACCCTCTCCAACATCTCTCTGTCTTTCATTTACTGGAGGCTCCAAACTTGGACACAATACTGCAGATGGGGCCTCATGAGGACTGAGTAGAAAATCACCTCCCTGTCCCTGCTGGCCACCTCTCTTCCGATGGAGCCCAGGATACCATTTGCCTTCTGAGCTGCAAGAGCACACTGCAGACTCATGCTAAGCTTTCCATTTATCAGGACCCCCAGGTCCTTCTCTGCAAGGCTGCTCTCAAGAACCGCTCCTTCTAGTCTGTATGGATGCCTGCGATTCCTCCAGCCCAAGTGCAAAACCTTGCACTTTGCTGTGTTGAACCTCATTATGTTCACCCAGGCCCACCTTTCAAGCCTGCTGAGGTCCCTCTGAATGGCATCCCTTCCTTCCACCATGTCAACTGCACCATTCAGCTTGGTGTCATCTGCACTCGATTCTGTCATTGATGTCATTGATAAAGATGTTAAAGAGCACTGGTCCCAAACAGACCCCTAGGGGACACTGCTTGTTACCGGCCTCCATCTGGCCATAGAACCATTAATCACCATCCTGTGTCTGAGGCCTTTTAACCAATTTGTTATCCCTCCAATTTGGAGATAAGGAAGTGGTGGGGCCTTGCTCAAGTCCAGGTAAATGACATCAGTCGCCTTTCCTTGTCCACCAATGCCATCACTCCATCAAAGAAGGCCACCAGATTGATCAGGCATGACCATCCCCTGGTGAAGCCGTGCTGGCTGTCTCAGATCACACGGTCATTCCTCATGTGATCAAACATCACCCAGGATGATCTGTTCCATGATCTTCCCAGGCACAGAGGTGAGACTCACTGGCCTGTAGTTCCCAGGGTTCTCCTTGCTCCTTTTCTTGTAAATGGCAGTGATGTGACCCTTCCTCGAGTCATCCAGGACCATCACCTGACAGCCACGACTTCACAAATATGATGGAGAGCGGATCAGCAACCACCTCAGCCAGCTCCTTTAGAACCCTGGGATGCATGCCATCCAGCCCCATAGACTTGTACACATTCAGTCTCATGAGGCGGTCTCGGACCTGCTCTGCCCTTGCAGTGGGGGGATTTACCACCCTGGTCCCCACCTAGAGGTTTAGGGCTGCAGGGATCAGGGATGTGAGAAATATCGGAATCCTGGCCACCAATGAAGACCGAGGCAAAGAACTCATTCAGTACCTCAGCCTTCTCTTCATCTGTAGAAGCCAGTTCTTCTTTTACATTTACCAAAGGAGGTACACTCGCTTTGGCCTGACTCTTCTGGA